ATCACATTGCCAACATAAGTGCATCTAGTCAAGGCTATGGTTTCCCCAGTTGCAACATATGGCTGTGAAAGCTGGACCATAAGGAAGGCTGGGCACCGAATAAGTGAGGCCTTTGAATTGTGGTGCTGGAGAAGACTCATGTGAGTCCCTTGGACTGCAAGGCGATCAAACCAGTCAGTCCTAGAGGAGATCAACCGTGACTGCTCTTTAGAAGGCCAGATCCTGAAGATGAAACTCAAATACTTTGGCCACCTAATGAGAAGGAAGGACTCACTGGAGAAGAACCTGATGCTGGGAACAATTGATGGCAAAAGAAGAAGGGGACAGCAGAGGATGAAGTGGCTAGATGGAATCCCTGAAGCAGTTGGTGTGAGCTTAGGTGGACTCTGGGGGATGGTGGAGGACAGAAAGGCCTGGAGGAATGTCGTCCATGGGGTCGCAATGGGTCAGATGCGACTTTACAGCTAACAACAACAACAACAACTAGTTTAGAAAACAATGAATATAAAAAAGATAAAAAATTACAATTGTCCGTGATACTAAAAATTGATTATTTATTGGTATCGGCATTTACTCTTTCCCCCATGCTCACCATCCAAACGAGTCCTGGCTACTTTAGTTCTCCTTCTTTCCCCAGGCCCTGGCTCCCAGTGTTTTCCTTTCTTCACCAAGCTGTGTGCTAATTCCTCCATTCTTCCTTTCCTTCCCACATGCCATGGCTCCTCCATTCCTGCTAATGCATAATCTGTATCTTGCCATTTTCTCCCCAGGCACAGCCAGTAGTTTTCAATCACTACTTCTTGGAATCCACCCTTGGAATCTATTATCACATCTAATTAGAACTGCTCCCTCAGTTTGAAATGGATGCAATCAGAAGAGAGCAAACAGATACATTTTGCTCTTGGCTGGTAGGATCCAGTGAGAATGCTAATGATTACATACTGTAAGAGCCTCTTCTTCTTTTTAGTGATACAGTACCAGCAACTAAGCTGATTTGGGGGTGTTCTACCCTTAAAATGGCATAGAAAGGAAATTAAATTTAAAAATACTACAATTATCTACCATTTAGAGTATTTAAAAAAACAGCAAGCATTACCTTCACAAATATGGATTTTCCTTTATACTATTTAGATTTTATATAAATGCATTGCTTATTTATATTATCACTTGATCTTAAGGTATTGCAGTTTGCAATTAGTTTATTGAGTGAATACTAAACTGTGAAAAGTTAAAAAGAAGCACTTCTGTCATCAGAGTACCTGAGCCAGAGTTCTGTTTTTCGCCCGGGGATCTGTCTTTCTCAGCAGAACTCTTGCCATCCCTGTACAGAACCCTCTCAAGAGGCAGCTAAATCAGGGGCAAATGGTTTTTATTTCTTACCCCCATCACCCCATTGTGAAGGAACTTTGTAGTTTAAAAAGGACAAAGATGGCAAATACACCACATAACCATGTATAAATCTCAGCAGAACAAAAAGAGAAATTTTTAATCTAGGACTTTGTATGCTTTCATTACAATTCCATCCTTGGCTTAGATACCAGCTGCTTTCAAGCACAGACTTCGGTATGGACCAAGCGGAAGTCCAAGGCTCAGCATCAAGCAGCAGAGTGACAAAGGGAGGCACAAGCTGCAGCACCAAGGAGAGCTCTTTGTGAGCCATTTGCTCCAATAAGGGCCGACACCAAAGTTAATGCAACAGTCCCAGACTCTACCCCTTTCCACAGAAATGGAAGACTGACCACCTGTAGTCGAGCACTCCTCCATTTCACCAAAATTGTATGCCCAGCGCACTAACAGCACTGGTGAATTTGGCTCCCTGGACTTCTGTTGAACGATGCTAGTCCAGCGACAGAGCTAGGCTGAGGGGTCCCTAGTGGCCTTGCGGCATTGCTCTGACCTGGCGTTACTGCTGGTGACACCACTGGTTCTCTGGACTTAAGAGTCCATGTCACTGCTAGACTCCTAGCTCATCGCAGCTCCAGTGAAAAAGCATTTAAAATGCTAGAAGGGAATATTCAACATTTATTTTTAAGTGTATACCCCTTTCTAGAGGAGATTGCTATGGCTGCAGTGATACATGCCTTGATCATTTCCCTGTTAGATTAAGTTTTCACCATGTGTTTGGAAACTGTAGCTGGCACAAATTATGCTTGTGATTAAGATTTCTTGGTGCAACCCTATGAGGATGCCTGTAAGCATCCCAACTTGGAGGATTACTTGAATTGGGGGGGGGGCAGGAGGAGCGCTATGCAAATCACATAAACAGCTGATTTAGGGCATCTAAGTGTGTTGCTTTGAAGTGGCAGGGAAGGAGGCTGAGGTGCCCACCAACAGGCCTTGTATTTTGGCTGTGCAGGTCTCTGCCCCTTCCCCAGAAGACTCCTTTACCCCTTTCCCAAGGTCACTCTTGCAACCTTGGTGGAGGAGTTCTTTCTGCACCACCTATGAAAAGGAAATGGAATCCAACAGTGGACACCCAGCTGCAAGGTCAGAGCTGACCTTATAGCTGGGAATCCAAAAAAATCCTATGGTCTTCGAGAAACTGTCCAGGAGCCATAGCACTGAACTGCTTGACACCTATCTCAAAAAAGATTCAACACAACTTACTGAAAAATTGAAATATAAAACATTTGAAAGAGATAAAATCATAATCCATTCAAGTATACAACATGACACCAATTCCTCTCCGGTGTATGCTTTTCATAACACATCACATCAGTCTTTTGTCAACTATACTGACTTCTGGTTTGTTTCTGGCTCCAGTTTAAGGTACTGATGCTTCCCTGCCAGGGACAAAGGGTGCAATGCTATGCAAAATCAGACAGGAAAAGCATGCTGGACTTGTAGGCTTTTCTTTCTATCTAATCCTATACAGGATTGCATCTTGAATGGCCTAAAACAAATGTATATGAAAGACCAGAAGACAAAACAGGGCCTTTATTGTGGCACCACCAGTTTTGGAATCCCCTGCCCCAAGAGGTGAAGACTAGCTGTATCTAGGTGAAGACATGCCAAGACTTGATGGCATGTATGTGGACAGACAGAACATTTGTATGCCACTTGGCTAGTCATGGTTTTTACTTTACTCCATTCTGATTTTAGGGCTCTAGTTTTAATTTTGGGTTTGTTCAATTATTGTGTTTATGCAGACTTTTTTGAAAACTCTTGCTAGAACTGAAAAGCAGCATAAACATTTTTAAAAAATAAACAAACAAGCCCTTGGATATACTCTGCCTGACAACTTCTGAAACAGGCACCTAACAGAAACCTCAACTTGACTTCTCCAACCGGGGAATGTAAGAACAAGACAGCTCAAGATAGAAATCCTTATCTCCAAGTATTGCTGCTGTATACTTTCTCCTTACTCTGTGCAGTGGTTTAACAAATCCTACTTTACAGAAAGTAGCAAAAGTGTTTTCCACCTGGGACAGTGGGGTGGCAAGCTTAGTATGCACTATAGAGGAACAGGGGGGCGCTAACCATCAACCCCAGGTGCAGGAAAGAGCCCGCTTTCTGGAAGTGGCAACAGTGGGGAGCAGAGCCACCTTTGGGGTGCACAGCAAGCAATTTACTCCAGTCCCTGCTACCCGAACACTCATGCCTTTCTTGACTTACAGAGCCGGGCTACAGCACAAACGGTGGCTGCACTGTGGCTCCCTGCATTGGATAGAAAAGCTAAGCAGTGTTTAATTATTTCAGCCTCTCTCCTGACACATAACACTTTTAAAATCAGAGGCCCCATAACTGAAGCAGAGTGGTCAAGGTATAGAAACTGCAAGCACGCTGACATGGCTGCAATCTCAATCACTTGCTCACCAGCCCTTTCTGAGCTTCTAGGTACCAGCACTATTTGTTGCAGCAGCTGGCCGTTTTTCACTGCTATTCCCATATTCCTTATGGCTCTCTACAGGTATCTTGGCAGCCATCCAAGAGATGCAGAAGCAAAAATGTTTGCAACTCCCAGTGCAATGGGGACTACAGAAAAGGCATGAGCAAAACAAGCAACAGCAGTAACCTGCATATTTCCACTGAGGGTTACTATTCCTCTTGTTCTAGCACTTCTCCTTAGATTTTGAAAGCATCTCAAAGACAGTTATTCAACAGGAACAGCCATGAGGATCCACTGACTGGTGAAACCTGCACCTTCTCCATGTTGCCATGTACCTTTCATAGGCACTGGAGCCCAGCTAGCAAGAACTCATTGGCAATTATTGGCATTGTGTATGTGCGTTTGTTTTTTACCACTGATTCAAACTGGATTTATTGTGAAACCACCCACCCTTTTAGATGAAAATGTTGCTTATAAATGTGCAGATGGATGTCAAAACTAAAGCCAGATCCAAAGAATCACTTTGGTTCTAAGAGGATGGTTTGGATTTGCTTTCTTAAAAAACTGAATGGCATTTCAGAAACACTTAGCTACATGGCACTAGGGAATGTAGAGTGAATACTATCTCAGTGAGTATGTGTGAGCCCTTACAGGCACCTTTAGATCAATCTCACTTGCCAGTTTTACACAACAACCTTGGGAGCATGCAAATGATTGTCTCATTTTACATCTCCTTACATGGAGAACCAGTGTTGTTAGGGCTGAACTGGGACTTGGGAGCCCTGACTTCCAGTCTCCACTTGGCCAGGAAGCTCACTAGGTGCCTTTGGGCCAGTCACTAAGTCTCAAAATACTTTGGAGGATGAAATGGAGAGGACGAGGATCACAGAAGCCACACTGGGTTTCTTGAAAGAGAAAAAAATGGTGTGATGTAAATGAAATAATATTTTTAAATAAAGGGAAGGCAATGCCTGGTTCTTACAAGGAGTCTAAGAGTGAAGAAGCCTACACACACTTGCATAAGATTAATTCTAATGAACGCAATAGACCTTACTTTGAACTGAACACAGATAATTGGGCTGCACAAATAAGAAAAGAAGTGAATGCATGAGACAGACAAGAAGAATCAAACACATGTCCCTGAAAATAGTGAAACAGCTAGTAATAATACCTGTAAGTTTAATTTTGGACAAACGAGCCAAAATCCCTGGTAAATTATCCAGCTGCAGCTTCATCTCTTTCCACTGCTTTTCTTCCTTTGATGCAGATCCTACTACAGATTCTGTGTCATCGCTGATTGCCATGGCCTTAAAGGATTCAGACTCATTTGTTGCTGGTTTCTCAGACAAACGTGGCAGAAGAGGTGCAACCGATTTCACCTCATGGACAACTGCTTTTTCCTGATCTGAATGCTGTCCTTCAAGAAAAGGAGGTGCAGTTGATTCTGGCTTCAGCTTTGTTCGCTGACACAGTGCTTTGTTTTGCCGTGCTACATACTGAAAAAGTAAGATGTTTTGAAAAATTAGTAAATGTCAATTGATACATTTAAACTTTGACTCACAGTTTCTACAGGCATAGACCAGGCTTTTCCCTCATGGGAAGCCTCATTCAATGGACTGAGAGCTGCATAGTAACTTTTTTGCAATGAGCCTTGTGAAGGAGAATTTTTGCCAACCTAGCCAATTGTAAGGCATCATATGAGTTGTAGGTCATAACAACCGAAGGTCTGCAAGTTCATCCTGGTGCATAAAAGCTGTTTTATTTTAATGCAGAAGATGTATGGCACAGCCTTATGCATATTTAGACAGAAAAGTTCTAAAACTCCCAGCATCCCCAACCAGCTAGGGAATGCTGGGAGTTGTGGGACTCTTCCTGTCTAATTTCAAAGTTGTGCCCTAATTTAATGTAACCATATTAGCATTTTGCAGCAAACAGTCTTGTTTGGCTTTAAGGAGCCTGTTGTTGTTGTTTTGTCTTTATGTTCTTTCACAGTTAACCTAAATTTCAGCTATTTTAAAATATCTAATCAGCCCTATTCCACATGACATATAGTAGATAACAGTGACTTAAAATATTTTAACCACAATGAAAATTATTACCCACAAAGATCATATCCTTTCTATCACGAGCAGTTTAGCCACATCCCTACCCATGCCTGGACCTCTGCAAAATGTTCCATTATGACTCAAGGCCCTGCTAAGTGGAGTAGGTTATGGTGCAAGGATTGGCCAGAGACATATTCAGAGCAGAGCAAACTGTACTTCTTCCCAGTTTTCCATGATCTCCCCCACTGCCTTAGCTTCCCATGTTGTCTCCCACTCAGGTCTCTTAACCCTAAAAAGAGTACTTTTAGGGACTCTGGGAGCTGATGGGAAAAGGAAGAAACTGAGAAAGTGAGTTTCTACCTGTCCCATTCCAAAGACAGATATTAAGATTCAGCCTCTGCAACTCACATAAGTTATGACTCTTTTTGGCTCAGGATACTTAATGGGATTTTCTTCATTTTCCATTTGCAAATACCAAATATAGTGATGCTAGCCACCAAAAGATGGGTGTGTGAAGGCTAAGAAATGCACAGTTTTAATCTACACTATTTTTAATATACAGTGCCTCACTGACTTACCATTCGCTTGAGGAAGATTAACTGCTGAAATGTAACTCCTCTTTCTTTGGTGACTCTAAAGAAACATGCAAACTTGAGTGGCACTTGCTGCATGGCTTTTTTCTTGAAGGTGCTGGAAAAATATTCCTACAAGTGAGGGGAAAAATAAGGGTTGAATTTATTTTCGTTAAGGATTAGACACAGACCTAGTCCAGATTCTCAATCATGACAGGAGGAGAAAGATGCATACGAGACTAAACCTAAGGAAAAAAAAAATAAAGGAGACAACATACTGCTTTCAAAATCCAAGAGGAAGTTGTTCAGTATTGCCTTTCAAACAACCCATCACGCTAATCTTTTCCACTCCTGCTACTGCCATTGGCTATAAAACTGTTTATAACTAGATGAGCATCAACAAGATGGAATATTTACTTAAAAGTAGGTATTGCCCATAAAAACAGCACCAGAGCTGAGCATTCACATTGGAGGAGGGGGGTGTTTCCTCCAGCTGCAATGTATGTGTTTATTACTGATCTTAAAAACTACTAGCTATGATATAAGGCAACCATAAAACTTCATTTTTAATTGTCACAGTAAAAAGTCTCATGACAATAAAGGAAAACACTGAAGCAATGTTTATGAGCCTGGTGTACGTGCTTCAGTTGCTCAAGTCGATACACTAACTGTATTGAACACTCACTAAAAAGTAGCTTCTGTGACTGGAACAAACAGTTTCATTTATTTAACAGGGTTTTTTATCCTTGTGTAAGTTATCCAGATAAAACATACCTATTAATATTACCTTTTATATAATAGACACATTTTCTTAAAATAACACAAATACTTAGTGGAAAAGCCAATAACACCAGCCTGTGCTAAGCAGGAGGAAACACTTCTAGGCACACAGACATTTAAAAGCAAGGGACATGGCAGTGGTGGGAAAACATAAATGCTTCTACACAGTCATTTCTCTCCCTTTGTCAATAAGCAGCATATTTCAGTTAAAATTCATATAGTTTCAAGGCAGGTGTTTTAAAAGGAGATAGAAGAACAAACCAAAATAGGCAGTATGAGACTAAACTGCAACATCAGTTATGAAAGGTGTATACACATTGCAGCCCAATTACTCTTTTCCTAACATTTTATTTATTAATTTATTACACTTCTATGCCACTCATGGGTTCTCTGGGCAGTTTATAAATCTAAAAACATATAAACAATCAATAAAATAATTATATATAAGTAACACATTAAAATAAAGAATTAATGTGTACAACTATGAATTCATGTATAGATTTCAAATCAGCATCTCTACTACCCCAACATTAATTAAGGTCCTGCAAAGGAGTCACAGATTGCTTTTTGCATTAGGTTAGCCCAGAGAGAGGTTAGTGTAAAGAATATTGATTTTAACAGAGAAATGAGAGCACATTAGCTGCTTATTGTGATTTTAAACAATTGTCTCTGCTAAAACTTCAAGACAGAGGATGTGTTTAATTCCCTGATCCAATGATAGTTAAGGGAATCTAAGCCTATTAGTTTCAACAGGCTTAGGTTGCCTTAACTTCATGTAGGATATTTCCAGAATTTCTACCAAATAGGTGCTCTTATTTTTAGTATGGGTATTCTGTTGTATGTGTTGTTAAAACCCTGATTTCAGGAAAACAGGAGAAAGTGATTGCATATATTAATTTATGATGCATAAAATATGAATATTTTCAGAATGGCCATAAAGGCACTTTAATCTTATATAGGAGCATGGGGAAAGATGGAGGCAACTACCCAGCTATTTATTTTAGTTTGCTATATATATATTCCTGCCATTTTTCCTGTAAGAAACCCAAGATGGTTTACATAATCTCCTGGTTCATATTTACTCCTGCTATCTCAGGATTCACTTTTCAAAGAGATTTTACAATCTGGCTTCAGCATTATTACTCTCACTGAAATCTACCAAATCCAGAATTTCCTATTCTATTCTTATCCACTTTCTCTCTGTTGCCTTTGATACCATTAATTGCCTTCTCTTGCTTCATGCCCTGGATTTCTGTGTCTCTATTCTCATTTAACTGCTTGTTCAATATTTCCATAAAGAGAAACTTGTCATCTGCATTCTTCTATCAAGGCTTTTCACAGCATCTTTGAGTGTCCTCATCAATGTCTTTCAATGAGCCCTACACATGGATAACTTCCATCTGTCTCTACTGCAGAACTCCCCTGTAATCCAGGCCCTTATGTCCATTACCTGATATACATGCTTGAATGTTTCATCATCATATCTGTCTCACATATACCCAAAACTAAATCTCTCCTCTTTCCATTTCTCTATTCATATTCTCTCTATGTATCCACTGACAATGGCACCAGGCACCATGTATTCTGATCTGCTCCCCACGCCCACCCTGATCAAAATTCTGGCTGCTAAGTTAATAATCTCTTGCCTTGACTGTGGAATCTGTCCTATACCTTGTTTCTAGTGACATTACTCTGCCCTTTCTATTCAGAACTCTGCCATCAAAATCATCCACCTTTACGTGATACTCCTCCTTAAGTCCCAGCACTAGGAATATAGGAAGCTATCTTGTACTGGGTCAACCTATTTGTCCATCCAATCCAATACTGGCAACTCTGGCTGGCAGCAGATCTCAAAAGTCTCAAGCAAGAGCCTTTCCCAACTCTTTCTACCTATTTCTTTTAACTGAGAGATGGCAGGAATTAAACTTAGGACTTTCTGCATGCCAGGCATGCTTTCCACCACTGACCTGTGGTCCATCCCCTGGCTTCCTATCCACTCTCTCTGTGGGTTTCCTACTTATCTCTTTACCTTCCTTGAGCCATTTCTGCTCTCTCAGGAAATTTCACCCTTATACCTAGAAAGGTCTCCCAGAACAGCAAAGCAATGCCATCTCTCCCTTTTCTTTTGAATGCTCCAACACCCACATTTTTCTTGAAGCAGTCCCTACTAAAATATGCTGAGTGAAGGAAAGGATAGATTGTTTTATGCATTTGTCCTTTATATTTACTGATGTATGTACATATGCACATACATATAACTGGAATGTGCACATATATATGTATTATACCTATGTATAAGTACTGACCCATCTATGTATACACAAGTACTTATAACTGAAATGAATACTATAATAATAATTATTATAATCAATTATTTAATTTCTAAACCTCACTACAGTTGAAGCTCCCTGGGTAGTTCACAACAATGAATGAAAAACACAAAAATCACAACAGAATAAAAACTGCATAGAATTTAAAAAATAAAGTAAGCAACTAAAGCAGTGTTTTAGTTCTACATAACTAAACTAGATCTACATAAAGTAGATTTGATGACACCTCTCCGTGTGTCATCAAATGTCCCCAAATACCTCAGAGAAAAGGTCAACCTGAGCCTAGCTCCACAAAGGTAGAGCTGGTGCCAGGCAAAGCTCTGTAGAGGGAATTTGGGTTCTACCACCTAGAAGCCTCTTCTCCTTGTTGCCACCTTCTGAGCTCTTGACCAATAATGTCCAGGTAGATTCAGTTCAAGAGATACATTCTGCCAGGTATTGTGGACATGGTAGGCATGTCATGAGCGGAGTAGGCTGGAGACAGGGGTCACACTAGATGGCCTGGGAGACCCCTTCTGACTCACTCAGTTTCTAAGGTTTATAGATTAGAAAGTGCATGCAGGCAGCCAGCACAAGTGGGCTAGAAATGGTCTTTTATGCCTGGATCTTTTGGTCCCAGTTATTAGTCTTGCTGCCACATCTGGCATGAACTGGAGCTTCTGAATAATCTTCAAAGATAGCTTGATGTAGAATGCATTGCAACAAACTAGCGTGGACATTACAAGGGCATAGATTACCAGAAACCATGCTATCCCTAACTAGATGGGTGCAAACCTGAGCCTCCAAGCCAAAGCTGGTGCCAAGCACTCCAAGCCACTGAGGTCACTTGAGCCTCAAGTGACAGGAACGGCTCCTAAAGCACCCTCAAGCTACAAACCTGCAGCTTCAAGAATAGAATGGATATTCTACAAATAGATGACCTTCCCCTGGTTCTCTTGATACCAGTTTCCTTTTTTTATGCCTATGTGTCAAATTCTGAATTGCAAGTTTTTTGGGGTAGGGATTTATTTAGTTGGTTGGTTGGTTGGTTGGTACGGCCAGCACAACAGAGAACTGGGCTAAAGGATGATGGGAAGCCAGAGAAATAATTTTTACCATGCTGTCAGCAGCAAACAATTCCTGTCAGTCTCACTTGTTGGCTAGCTAAGGAGGAAAGAAAATCACAAAGTGGAGGAGAAAATAGTGGAAACTGCAGGAAGAAGCAAGATTTAATGTGGAAGAAGGCAGTTTCAGTTTGTTTCTTTATATACTTAATGTCACCATTAAGGTCACCAGAAACACGTTAAGTTTAATCTCCAAAATCGATAGAAAGAACCCATCTGGGACCCTGGAGAGCTACTGCCAGTCAATACAGACTAGCTTCCCACAAGTTGGAGACCTCCAGATGCGTTGTAGTACAACTTGCATTAGCCATTCTGGAGGGGATGAACGGACCTGTGGTCCAAAACCTGTGGGGGGGCACCAGGTTGGAGAAAGCTGGCATAGGCGCAAGAGACCAATGTTGCGACCTTTTGAGTCACCTTTCCAAACGCTGAGAACTACATACGAGAGACACCCAGGAGGAAGCAGGCATTTCCCGAGCAGCCGTGCAGGTCCACAGCCATGCCTCGACAACAAAGCCCATCTACCTTCGATAACAAAGTCTACATCGGTCTTCCGCATTGCCCTACCGCCCAGAGACATCCTCACCACCACCCTCCGAGGGGAACAACGACTTGTGCATTTGCCTTTAGTACCTGCGGGAGCCCAGGGCAGGCCGCGGCATCGGGGGAATAAAGCCCGAAATAGAGACCGGTCGGTCGCCCGCCCTGTCCTTCGCCTCCCTCAGCACGGCTCCATGGGCGCCGCCATGCTGGCCGACTCGGCCCTCCTCCGGACTCGGCTCACTTCCGCGGAATAAGGCGGGACTTCTGGAAGAGGCGGGGAAAGGCTGGCGCGGCGGCGGAAGGGTCGCTGCTTGGCGTCTCGCCGTCGAACGGGGGCTTTTCTGCGCCCAACAGGTGCCCGGGAAGGGTCAGGGTGGCGGCGGAGGAGGAGGACTTGCTGCCCCTTTCATCCCTCCAGCGAAAAGTTTGCGTTGCATAAGTCTCGAGGCAGCAGGTTTCTCTGGAGGCGGGGAAGGGGAGCCTCACCTATTGAACTTCTGCCGCCGATGCCGACCGCCGAGCGAGTACTTAACACAAGCTGGCCCAGTCGTGTTAAGTAGCGAGCTGTCAAATAGTTTTCCCGCAGCTGGATGCCTTCCAGATGTTCGGGACTTCAACTCCCATCAGTCCCGACGGATATGACCAAGGATAAGGACTCCTGGACGTTGTAGGCAAAAGCATCCGAAGGGCACCAGGCTGAGGAAGCTGGCTGTAGAAGTTGCTGGTCTCAGAGAACTTGTGAGTGAAGCCACCGTAACACAGAAACATTTTCATTCTTTTTTACATGTCCTTTCTCTGTTACACCCTAGGCAGCAGTTGTGATTCATCTAAGGTAACATAGCCTGAGGTAGGAATGATTGCCCAACCCCACCGCAGCTCCTGCCCATTTTACATATCCTTATTCTGTACAAACTTCACTTCCACTCTGTTCACAGCTCTGGCTACTGTAGCTATGGCAGACAGCATTTAGCATCCAGGCACTTGGTTCGCATGGTCCTCATGCCATTAAGCAGGGTAATAAAAGGATGTCCACATGAATGCCCTGGAATGTGGCATATGAACTGCCTCCTGAGTCCGTTCTGTATCCTAGAATTTGATTAAGCAGTATATGCTAAAGTGAGGGTAGGAATGGATTTCAGAGTCACGGTTTTATATGCAGGTCAAAAGAGACCCCATGCTTTGGCATTGCAGATTCAGGATATATTTGGCTCTAGATACCTTCCCTACAAGCCCACTATTGATAGTGTGTAGGTACAGCCTTGTTTGAAATTCATTTAAGTGTAAAGAATGAAATACCCTTTTTAAAAGCAGCCAAATATTGTTAGTTCAAAGTGAAGGACAGGATTCCCTATTTTATTCCTATGAGAAGTGTATTTTCCCACGTGTTAAGACTCTGAGTGCCCTGAAGGAACTCAACATGCCAGTACTGTTCCCATCCTGAAGGAAGGCTGTTCAACTAAAAGCCAAACCCACCAACCATGGAAGAAAAAAAAATGTTACTTAGACTGAAGTTGAATAAGTTCTTGCTTAGAACTTCTTGGCAGCAACAGTGTTTGGAGAAATTAATGCAGTCTTGCGCACACGTTGCTAGTCCACAAACATTTTTACTGCCCTGCCTACCCTTGTGCACTTATGGTGGCATACACAGAGGGGGAAGACTGCTTCTGTGAAACTTTCCTTCCTGGTTCCTGGAACTAATTATCACTTATCGCTTTCCATTGTTAACCAGGCAAGTGTTGATATGGTGGTTTCAATCCAGGGACATCTGGCGTTTGATGAATAATGATCAATGTTTAACCTATATGCTGACTTTCTAAAGCTCTATCATGTCCTGTCTCCAAAAAGCCCCAAATATTATAGGGCCTTTTTCTCTCAACTTAGTACTGCTCTCTCCAGTTGCTTTTCTTTTTATAGGGAGAAAGGGAGCTTGCAGGGCAGAGAAATTTGGAGCAGTAAAAAGATCAAGCTCCTTCTCTCCACCCATTGCTCAAGATTGCAACTGTAGGCATGACAAAGTTAAACACAAATGGCAGTCATGTGTCCTTTGGCCCTCAGCACCTTCTTTTATCCTTCAGCTGCAATTTTTGTCGAACACTGGCATGTTTACGCTAAGTTGGTGGTTGTGATGTGAGATGCTGTTCTGGAATTCCCTGAAGAGACTCTGGAAGGGAAATGCTCAGAAGCTTCTTTCTTTTGGACAACCAGATAACCCAGTGTTGGTTTCAGAATGGTAGACAAGCTGGAGGCTTGTGCATTTACCTTCCCTGGAGAGCTTGGACTTGGACTGTGGACTCTTCTGGCTTGCTAGTAGAAAGCAGCAAGCAAAAAGCAGAGAACCTTGAATAACCTTTCTCCGTCAGAGTTTGTAGTTTATTTGGACATTCCTTACATTCATCAAGAATTAAGTGCTGAAATGGAACCCCATTGAGATGCTGTTGGGTTTAAACAAAAACAAACAGTTTTGAGAAAGATAAGGAAAAATACATATTGCAGTTTAGCTAACTGTACAGACCTAGAAAACTTGTAACCTACCAAGTCAAATGCAAGCCTAGTTATGCTATTCTCATAAGGGTCTCAATAAATGACCTCTCTTTTCTGCCTATCTGGAACTGTAAATGTGGAGGCAGAGAGAGGGTAAGCTACATTTAGCTTGGTGGGTCATAAGGCACACAGTTTTGTGATGAAGTTGGCCTGTAACAAGAGGAAGGACAGCCTGAAATCAATCATGGCAAAAGATGGGGGAGCAAGAAGTATATAACATTTTTCCTATGGGGAATTGTTGTCCAAGGCTGATTTTAGGTAGAAAATACCTAAGGGGAAAAGGTTCAGCACTTCCTTCCTCCCTGCTGTTCTCTAGTAATTATTGGCATAAGTGGTCCTCACCTTGCTTCTTTTTGTTACAAAGACTGCTGAAGGACTGCCTGGAGGTCACACCCCTTTCTTCCTGCTCACTATTTTTTCTGTTTTTGTTTTGTTCAGGGAGGCTGTGAGTGATCCCGATCCGAATTAGATCCACAATATGGGAGTAGGAGAATCTAATCCCTCATCCAGTTTGTAGTCCCAGTGCAGATTATCTCATCTCTAAATGGCTATTAGCTACAAATATTACTGGCATAATATTCCTTTCCAGGGCTAATAGGAGCTATTTACAATAGGGCACTGGCACAAAGGGAAAAGATAAAATCTCCTGTGCACCATAGCACTGATCCAAATCACATACTCCCATGACTGCTTTTGTAGGGATGGAATTAGAAGACACTGGAGATGTGTTGGGAAAATTTGGATAAATCCTGTCTGAAAAGCATTATTTCTGTGTGCTTTTTGCATTGTGGGATCAAATCCTGTCTTCCTTCTCAAAACCAAGCTGTCACTGTTTAAAATGGCATTCCCCCGCCCCTTTCTCTCACCTTTAGCTGTGGGCTACAGTCGACAGGCCATTTTAGTCCAAATATACATTGTAAATAGTCATTGTTGGAATTCAGTTTACAAGGAAGTATCTTTTGATAGCCCAGAGGCTCCATGTGCCCTGGCCAATTCAGAATGTCTAGAGTCTAGATAAGAGTCTTGAGCTCATGCATAGTTTCTCAGTAGCTTGAACCCATCTCCAGGTCTGCTTAGACATGTAAATTCAAGCTATTGAGAAACTATGCATGA